CCAGGACAATCCTACCGGGGTGTTTTTCGCACCTGACGCTAAAAACATGTGAGTTGCAGCCTAAGACGTAAAACCCCTCACTTAGATTTGGGCACACTGCTCAACCCTGGAGCCTTAATCATTGAATCTTAACCTGAAAACCTGAACCCTGATGCCTGCATAAGCCTTAATCCCTTAAACCTGCGGCCTAAGCCCTAAAGCCCAAGCCCCCCCCCTCATCGTTTGAAGTTGAGCACGCTGTTTTCACCTGCGATTGCTCGCGATATGCCATCGCAGGGCGACGTGCCAGCTCCACCTCAAGAGAACCGCTCTCCCGAGATTTGCTGGATGCTCTTTGAGTGCCATCCTTGCATCCGAAATGTCGGGGCTGTAGGTTTTAATGTCAAGGTTTAAGATGATTCTCCGAGAAAAAAATGGATGACTGAAGGCAGGTTGCCTTTTGACCCGTCCGACCAGGTCTTCTTCACAGTAAACGGACGCCTCCATCGGGTTCCAGAGAGCTGCCAGATCAAGGACCAGGTGGTCCAACCTCGGATGGGAGCCCCATATGTATAGCTATCAAGAAAAAAAAGTCAGAGTACGGCTTGCGAATATTGCTTCCATGTAGCTGATGGGCTTTGGGGCGTAGCTTCCAGTACAGTTGCCCATTTCGGATAGCCTCGCTGGCTAGGCCTCACTTTGCATTGGAATTGTAAATTGCGACTTGAAGAAAATTTGAACCCTTTTATATGGGGCTAGTAGCTGTTCAGCGCGGCGTGGTATGCTTTGTTGAAGTACTCGGCTCTATGGCGCTCATCCAGGCTCAGGAAGCGTCCCCCGCGTGAAAAGACTTTTCTCATCTCGTCCATTGAAACGAAAAGTCCAGCCCGCAGCTGGTCATGGAGCTGACCTGTACGCCATGCCTCGCGTGAGGTGACTGTCGCCAACCACCGAATCAATACCACAGATTCCTGGTGCAAAACTTGCGCGGAGAAAAAACACACTTTCAACCCCTAAGCCTTAAACCCTACGAAAACCCTATCTTAAGTTGGTGTGGGGCCTCAATTTGGAATTGCAGGCATGTTCTGAGATTCAGTTTTCGTAGCCTTAGATTTGGAGGTGGCCACGCCTACATCTTATAAACCGATCGATCCCTGTACTGCATGGAAAGCACCTGTACATATAATATGCTGTAGGCTCAACGGTGTAAACCTCCCACAATAATAATCCCTTAGCCGTTTATAAATCCCGAACTCATGCCAAGCCGCCGCTCCACTCAGGTGCCTCTGAGCAAATGTAGGAAAGGTTTTTGTGCTCCCAGATTTCAGCGCGTCCAGACTGAAAGGAGGTGCCCGACAGCCTGTGGCAAATCAATTAAAGGTTTCGGGATCACATGCGCTAAGATTACACGAAATAATTATAGAAATCTAGAGCACAAATCATCCAAGAGACGCACATGTTCAGCTCTGCACATATTGGCAAACTCGCTGTATGCTTCAGAGAGCCGCGCCTCTTGCGTGGCACCAGGCCAGACAGAGCGATCAGAGGTCATTTCCAATAAAGCCTTGGATCCCCCAAGATGGACTTGAAACCAAAAAATGCTAAGTCTTCGATCCATCCGAATACAAAAAAACACTGAAACCTGTAAAGCCCTAAACCCTAAACCCTAAACCCTAAAGCCTAAACCCTAACCCCTAAACCCTAAACCCTAACGGCCAAATTTGGTGAAGCGTAAAACCCCCAACCCCAAAAATTGTACGTGAAGCCTTAAATGCCATGGTAGCCATGGCAGCCAAGCATCAGAGGCGGCAGCATCAGGCGCCAGGGATAAATCCAAAATGTGCAGTAGATCTGGAAATATCCGTGTGATGCTGATGCCGGCGAGCAGAATCCAAGGGCTTCGTGCAGCATTCTGCAGGAAAGTTTCTTCGAGTAGCATCCTAGGGTTAGGTTGGGTACAGGGTTTTTTCGGACTCAGGAAACCAAACCTTACACACAGAAAAATCTTTGATGTATACATACCGGTATCGTAGAGCGATGAGCCGCGTCACGACCATGATGTGTGTACAACAGAGGTCCAGGCTCTTTGCTAGCCTCCGGGGTTTCAAGCTGGAAGATTACATGTGGACATAGGTGGAATGCAGGCCCCGGGACCCCCAAGGCTTCCAAAGGCATAGGAGCTTAAAACCCTGCGCCTTGCAGCGATGACACACATTCTCAGACACCCAGCTGCTTTCGAAGCAGAAACATTTTTTGATGTACTGCTGGTCTCCCTTGGTGCCGACCCACACACCCCGCCAGCCATCGGCGATGACACTTTCAGATGCTCCAGTTATAAGCTTGCCCCAGGGATCGAAAGGGAGCGTGCGACCACGCTGCAGCTGCTGAAAACTGTGGACAACGTGCATATCCAATTCTCGAACCTCGGCTATTAGATTCCACTCTAGAGCATCCATGCCCAAATTTGTGTTAACATGATCTATAAACTGTATTCCGAGAAAGCCAGGGCACTGTGTATGCACTAGCCTGAGAGTTGTCCAGGCAGTAGATCGGCAGCAGTCTATCCAGCGTAGCCCCCTTGCTCACCGCGCTCTGGAAGCTAACCACTAAGAACGATCGCCGTCGATGGGCCTCTGCGTCATCTCCATGCAGAATGAGCGGGATCGTCTTGGCGAGCTGCTCGCGCGATAACAACGGGAGAATCGGGTGATTTCTGAACCACCTGGGGAATTAGCTCGAGCGTGCTCGAGCTTAGGTTTCTTTGTTTTTTGGGTTTAGGGTTTAGGGTTTAGGGTTCTGGCTTGGGCACTCTTTCATATTCGAGGTTCGGGGTGCTTTCAAATTTACACGATTCAGGGCTCCACGTGCAGGGTACGCTGAGGTTCCCAGTGCTTCAGCACGGCACCAAGTAATACAGAAAAGCTTTCAAATTCTTTCCATCCACGGTCCCGCGGCACTCTGAACCCTAAACCTTGTCGACCTTGAAACCTAAACCCTGAACCCTAATTCCTGAATCTTAAATCCTAAACCTTTCTCCACCCTGAACTTTCAACCGTAAACCCCAAACCC